TGTTCCCCTATTTTAAAAAAGAATGCTGTCTCTTTAAATGGTGCAGTTAAAGACCAGAGAGAACAAGCCTTCAGTAATGAAAGGTCGGGAGTTAAGAAATACCATTCCCATAGAGCTCTGCGACCCCATCTCGCGTTTATAAGAAAACCGCCGTGTACCTCGCGCTCATGGGAACTGTAGTTTTCCTTTGTTTGGCCCTGGCAGTGGACGGACTGCAGTGGCGAGAGTGACGACGTGGGCGGAGCATGAGGGGTGGGAATATGTCAGCCAATCGCTGCTCTTGACTTGTGCGCGTCATCGTTTTTTCGCAGACGGACCACGCCTCCCCGGGAAGAGCCCGGTGCAGGGCACGACGGGACAGGAAGCGCTGGCAGGCCGGTGTGGACGGCTGGTTTCCCGACGATCGCTCTGCTCCGCTTTTTATTACTGCTTTATTTAATTTCATTCTGCAACAGAGCGGGGAGCTGCACAGCTATACAAATCCACAAACATACCACACAAGGGAAGCGCTCTGGAGTTTTGAAAGAAACGACTTAAAAAAAAAAAACCCAAAACAAAATCGAAAAGCTCAGGTTCTCTTCCTTCTTTTTCTCCGAAACACAACTCGGCGGCGCTTCCCGGTTTGAAATCAGCTTTAAAAAGCCGAGATCCGCCATTGATCCGCCTCTGTCCGCATAAAGCGCGTTCCCTCCCGGTCGGGATTAAACTCCGCTCCTGAGCCCAGACTTCTGCTCTCCTCTGCTCCGCTTCCGTGCCCTCCGCGCCCGAGTCCCCCGTGGGAGGTCGGCGTGTTTCGCCTGTGGACAGACAGCGAAGACCGGCGGAAGTCCGAGCGGCGCAGCGACCTGACGCTATGAGCTACAAGCCCATCGCCCCGGCTCCCTCCGGCACCAACCACACTCCCCCCGGTGAGAGAGACGCGCTGCCAGTGTGATTGCGTGTAAGAGTGAGAAACGGGGCACAGGCTGCCCTCTCGGGGACCACACGCCCGCCTCCAGGTTCTTCTGAGAGTCGGGGTGAGACTCTGCACGCCAGACCCCACTTACCCTCAGCCCCGCACTGCTGTGTTCGTGCCCCTCAACAGCTGTTTGGGTTAAACCGACAACGATGCGTTCGGTATTTATTGCCCATTCCCAAGCGATACGTGATCTCCTTCTGTCCGGAAGCGTGCTGCTAATGTGCTGGGGTGTCCAGTCACTAGAATCTCGTTTCCCCTCAGAGCCAGACCCGGCGGGTGAGCCAGCCTGCTTTCCTGGTGCAGTCGCCTGAAGAAAGCTGGACCGTGGTCCTTTCCTCGCACAAGAACCCGTAACACTGGTGCTGTTGTATATGTCCACCTCTTCTCCACTGATCGCACAACTACACATAATCATCTCTCAGGGTCCGAGCAAAATCCCTGCCTGCGTACCTTTCTGGCTCACCTGGAATCTGAAAAAACTTCACTCTGTGTTACTCAAACTGAGCTGACTATATCTGAACATGGGGTACTGGCGCGTCTGTATTCCTCTCTCAGTGTGTCTGTACTGTATTAACCCCTCTCTCTCAGTGCAGTGTTAATGTACTGGAGTGTCCAGTCAGTGTGTCTGGACTGTATTAACCCCTCTCTCCCAGTGCAGTGTTAATGTACTGGAGTGTCCAGTCAGTGTGTCTGGACTGTATGAACCCCTCTCTCTCAGTGCAGTGTTAATGTCCTGTAGTGTCCAGTCAGTGTGTCTGGACTGTATTAACCCCTCTCTCTCAGTGCA